TGTAAATGTATGGCCCGATACTCCAAACACTGATGTTTCTTCTGATCTATCGTCAGTAAGTATTCAAATATCGAATAAATGTAATTTTATCCACGAATAAATTCATATCAAATCGAATGTAATAAATATTTCAGACATTCACCAAAGCGACTATGTGATTGTTGACATTCACCGGTGAAAGTCAGAAATAAGGGTATTTAGCAAATATTTCGGACATACACCAAGCGACTACGTGAATGTCAACATTCACCAGATTTCAGTGTTTCACCGTAACATATGTATATATAAAGTTAGTTACAACCTTGGCCAAAGTTGTAACCTTGGCTCTTTGTTCGCCAAGGTTACAACAATAGAAGAAATTCAGAAATTTTGGAAAAGATTATTTACTTAAATTTGTTTTTCTCCGTGGATCAACCTTTTTCAATCATATACCAATACTCATTAGCAGTGAATGTTATGAGATGTCTGCTTATTTAAATTTCTTTAACAATTTAGAATTTATCGCGCTACTAGAAAGATCTGGTTTGCCCTCCTAATTCTTATTTACGCAGTAATCTATATAATTTCATAATTTATTATCTTTAGTATTTAAAAAAAAAACAAGTTTTTAATAGAAACAAAAAACTTCTTTTATTTAAAAAAAACAACAAAAAAAACATGGTTAAGTTTGATTTTTTCTTTATTAATATTATTATTACACTCGTCACAACTACGTCACAAGAAAACTTATAAGATGTCATAAATAAGTTCGTTATTGTTCGAGAGTCAATTCACAAATGTTAAAGATGTTTTAATGAGAAAAAAAAATTACATACTGATATTATGATCGACTTCAAATTTATGAAATTTGTTAAAATACTATTAGTTCTAACAATTGTTTCCAAATTTTCACTAAGTTTTTCCATATAATTCTAACGCACTCGTATAGCTAAGTTTTCTTTTCCTTTGCAGTGATAACGCTGATATTTCCACAATTGCAGATATGCGTGGGTACTAGTCGGTTTGGTGATATAAATCATCACCTAATAAGACTTTTGGGCTGGGGTTCGATTGTTTATTCTAAATCAGTGGTTACCAATTGGCTGATATTAGTTGTCATTTATTTGCGGACAATTTTCATAAAAAATCTATATGGGTTAAAAGTACTTTTCTTCATTCAGAAAAAAAACTTAATTTCTTCTTTTCTGTGAAATTTAACACACCAGCGGTGCAAAAAAATTTTTTATCTCAGGTAAAAATCTACTTCTTATTTTGATTTGTAATTCAATACTTTTGTTTCGTACAACTTGATAAAAATCTGGCCGTAACATCAAAATGTTCCTTCAAAAATAGAAGAGTCCTATATAAAATTTTGATAAAGTTGCAGCCCCCAGCCTCATGTAAGTTGGAAACCCCTGTTCTAAATTATAGGATATCTTATTGAATTGCACATTCTCCTATTTGGTTATAATGTTTCAAAATCCTCGTAATGTAATGTCTCCGGTAGTTTCAAAGCCGGAAGAATCCAGACATGGTTGGGCAGTTGGGCAGCGTAGTGTGGAGAGCAGGGTAATTACTACCACCACATACCGTCCTATCTAAATTGTGGTAGCGTAGCGTGCGCTAGTATTGCTTTCGGATCATCATTAGACTTAAATACCAAACCAATAGCCCATTAGCATAGTTTTAGTGCGACGTTAAGAGATAAACTGTCTAAAATGTGAGTTAGAAAGGGACACATACTTTCTCATTGCCAAAGTTGTCACATTTCATCATAGAAAAATATTTTATTTTTACGAATAAAAGGGACGAAATGATTTTAGAAGTCTTGACGGCACTCCTTTTTTGTCACTTGAATTAATATTCACTTTTAAAATATTTAGTGCCGAATTTTTTAAAGTAAGCCACTAATATGGTTTATTAAGTGGTTTTCTTGCCCGGTTCCTGCTTTAAGTATTAAAAAATGATTTAATGAGCCTAATTTTTTTAAAGAAAAAAAGATATTAGCAAATTTGTTGGTCTGAAACGGCTGCATTGCAATTTAAATTAAAATATTCCATTTTTTTTTTAAAAAAAAACATTATCAATGCATTTTAATTTTTTAAAGATTAAAAATTTATCAAGATTTATTAAATTATTAAACTGGTTACTTTAAATAATTGAAAAGTAGAATTAATATTTGCTGTTTAATGCGTGTTTTTAACATTAGAATTTATCGGCAATTTATAAAAAAATAATAATAATCTATGTATTTTATGACTTAAATGAAATAGAAACAAATTTAACATTTTAAAATAAAAGGCACGGAGAAAATTAAACACGAATAAAAACTGTTCAAATTTTAAAAATGTTATATTAAGAAACAGTTTCTAAAAGACATTATTAATCACGGTTATTTTTTGCACAGCACGCTGACTAGTCTATTTTAAATTTTGCATGAGTTAGTAACTTTTTCAGCTCGAACAATTTTATATGCTTGGGGAACGTTCAAAAAACTTTTTGATGTGCAATGAATAACTCAACTAACACAGAAATAAAAGTAACATAACTAAAAATATCTCCCGAAAGAGCCATTTTTCACGCAAACCGTCTCTGCATTTTAAGTGCACATTTTATGCATTTTTTTTTTCTCCACTCTTGAGGCTATTTTGATCGAAGCGGGGGAGTTCAACATGATTCAACAGGAGCACTTGGCTGATTTTTAAAGACGCTACTGATACATAACAGGACTTGAAATAGTTTAGATCATTCAAGAAAAATATTTGTTTTCATTTATTACCTTTTACTTATATGTCCATCAAGAACTGCTTCAAAAAATGATTGCTTGTAGATAAAGTTTTAAATTCTGTTTAATTTAGTTCAAATAAACGTTTCATAAATTAAAAAGATTTTAACTACTCTTAAATAATATAGTTTAATCACGTCCATAAATGAAAGAGATGTTTAAAGTGTTTAGTTTAATTATTATCTGGATTTCTATTAGTTTAAGACACACTAAACATACATATTTAGAAAATTCAATGGTGTTTTAATTATTAGTTTGATAATAACAAATAATTTAAAATTATCTCAAGTTTTCTAAGTATTAATACAATTTTGTTGAATATAAAAGTTTGAATTGATTTCAAACTATATAATTATTAATTGGTTTATTATTTAATATTTTATTACTCTTGTTTTGTTTGTAATCAGAACCCTTTATTTTTAAAAGGTACTATATACGACCACCGGCTAAGTTATAACTTTTCTAACAAAAGAAAAGTTCACCCACTAGCCTATTGCGGACTTCAAAAGAATGCGCCCTTTGAAGACTGCTAGTTGATATCCCACCCCTTATTTCCCTTCATGATAACTTACTTACTATTGAAATCAAAATTCGCTGACGTCATAAGATATTGAGCACTTCGTTTCATTTTATTATTGCAAAAACGATTTGAAAAGTTGTTCAAACATTCCTGCATAAACTATGCAATTCAATCTTCAGATAAAAGCAGTTTTCTCTACGTATTTGAATGCTCGAAATATAAGAAATAACTATTTTTTTTCTTTTTTATTGATATTTTTACATTAAATATGTGTATTTGCTTGTAACCACAATTTTATCTGCTATCGTTGTTATAACGGACTTTAACTTTGTAGCACTTAAAAATATTTTTTTTAAACAAAAATATTTTACAGCAACAACTTCTGAATTATATAAAATATGAAGAAAATTAAGTTATTTTTTTAAAGCAAATGCTAGGCTCGCATACCACGGATGAAAATAACTACCTTATCATTTAAAAAAGAAAAAATTAATGTAATTTCTTATAGGATTTTCAAATTTATTAATTTTTGTAATTTCAAATTACATGAGAAGAAAGTCAATGATAAAAAGTTTCTGATGATATTGTACTTTAAAAAACAGTTCTTTACTACTACAAATTTTTTGTTTTTTCCGTTTCAACTTCTCTACATATGCTCTATATCAACTTTTGACAGGTCTCTCTTTGAGATTTACGTCAATCCTTGATAAAAATAAACAAATAAATAAAGCTTGCTGGCAGGCAGGGGTTCCAAACAAAGGGTGTATTTTTTCTTCAACAGATGCTAAGCAAGTTCCATCATTCTATTTTTAATAATTATTTTTAAAGAAAGGTTTTGGATTTATAATAGGTTTTACATTATTGTATATAATTCTGATCAAGCTTTTGAAATAATTGGTATTTTTAAAGTTTTTATTTGACTATCATTCGATCCAAGAATAGCGCTATAGTTTGGACCCCATAAATTGCCAAAAGATGTCCGCAGAAATTACTACAGTAGTTTGCCTAATTTCCTACTGTCCTCAAAATTTTTCAGCAGAAAGTCTTCATTTTTCTGATATACTTCCCCTCTTGCAACTTTTTTTTTTTCAATTCTAAAAATCCTATTAGCAACTTAATTCTGACTATCTAAATCAGTAAGATTTTTAATTTTTATTACCGTCGTTGAACAGCAGACGCAATTTCTCGGGTTTAAGACTTTTTGGGTATTGTTCAACACCATAGCCTTGTAATTTTGAATAGAGGATTAGAACAAATTCGCCTTCGTCGAGGACTTTTTGGTGGAACTAATCCGCATCGCAGAGAGGAAAACCACGAAAACCTCCCACGGTTAGCCTGACGGCAAGAGAACTCTAACCACTGAGGCCCGACTACCACTGAGGATACTATTCGTCAGCACTGAGTTCGGTGCAAGCCGGATGTGGAAATCTTATCGACTAGTCATCTCTGGGATTCGAACCCGGTTCACCTCGCTGGTAGGCGAACGCTCTATCCCCTGAGCCATCACAGCTCAATTCAGTAGATTGTGAAAGATCTTGTTATCCTGTTACAAGCCAAATTTTTACAAAAACAATGTTCAACTTCTAAATTAACTTTACTTTAAAAAAAATTTCATAATCACTGTCATGTTGAATATACAGAAACATAATTAAAATTTTTAATTTAATAATTGAAAAATTGTAATTGAAAAATTGTAATTGAAACATAATTTTCTTTTCAAATTGATTTATTTTCTGTTTTAATTGTTTTCTAAGACGTACGATACCAGTTTGCATAATTTTCCACATTCTTGTCTCACAATTTTAAAAATATCTCCTCCTAATTTTTAAAATTATTTCTCTCTCAAAACAGTTTTCTACACAGCACAGATTCTATATGTCTCTTGTGTTTTTTCCCTTTTCCTGTCTCTTTAATATTATTTTGCATACAGTGTAAAAGGTCTTCCTTAATCACCACTATTCATGTACTTTTTTAGAATCACTAAAAAACTTTAAACTCAATAATATGCACGTTAGGGTTAGGAAGTATTAAGTTAGAAAAAATAAATAAAATAAAAACGCCAATAAATAACAAATTGAAAAAAGATTAGGAGCATGAAAATCAGTTACATTACTCGAATAAACTAAGAAGAAATGAAAAGCGTTTGTTGGGAACACCTTCAAGTGGCAATTAAACACTTTCTTTCTTTCTTTTCTTTTTTCTTTTCCTTCATAACCTCTCCTCTCTCAATTGTGGTTCAATCGAACCGTGATGGCTCGGGGGATAGAGAGTTCGCCATCCAATGAGTTGAACCGGGTTCGAATCCCAGCGATCGCTGATCAATACGTATTCCGCATCCGGCTTGCACCGATCACAGTGTTGACGTAAAATATCCTCAGTGGTAGATGGATATAGAGTTAGAGTTCCCTTGCCGTCAGGCTAACCATGCGAGGTTTTCGTGGTTTTCCACTCCATTCACTAAAAACGCAGGTTAGTTCCATCAAAAAAGTCGTTAACGAAGGCAAATTTCTCCTAGCGCTTGATCCAGAAGTTCCCTTGTCTTTTGGATTGGGTTCAAAATTACAAGGCCAGGGAGTTGAATATTAGTAGGCGTAAACCCAAAATTCTGTCGGCTGTTCAACGACGTTTATAAATATAAATAAATAGTTGTTCTATCAGATTTTGATGACGTTTTTTTTTCTTATCTTAAATATTAGCTTGCAATCCCTAATATCAGTATTTTTTTAAACTTCATTTTGTACAAGTATTCTAAAAATCTCTCATTTAGGACAGTCTTTACAAAATATCTTGTATAGATTATTCTTTTTAGCAAAGCGTAGTGCTTTAGAAATGAGAAAAAAAATATTGATGGCTGAATGGTTATCAAATCTTTAAATTATAAGAGAAAATAATATTATAAAATGAATGTCTTATCATAATCTTTAAATTATCATACCATAATCTTTAAATTATCATACGTGCATTTTTACGATGAATTATTTACTTTCATTGGCAATAACAGTATGTTCTATATTCTTTTTCTTTTGCAGCATTTGCAAAGTGTGTAATGACCGGTCCTTTCCCTGAAGAACTCAAATAATGAAAGTCAACGAATTATGGTGTTTAATTATAAATGTTCAAAGAGAATGAACTATCTGCTATGCAATTAATGTAAAAATAGATGAACCTACGAAAGGGCAATCAACAGAAAAGCGTTTATATATTGTTATCTTTCAGTAATTAATTAATGCTGAACACAATAAAATTGCTATATGGTTTGCATTCTTGTTTTTTACCTCGAATTTACGTAAATATTTTTATTCTTTCAGTTTGACATCTTTATGTACCTTAGTTAAAGTATTTTTTTAAAAAATTAGCTATATTTATCATTCTCATAAAACAGTTCTTTTAAAATCACCAAATAAGAAGGTTGAAGTGACAGAAAGGTTTTTATATTAATAAATGTATATAACTGCATTAGAAAAAGATATATATCTTGTAAATTATTCACAATATTTAAACAATGAATTAAATTCAAATTTTAAAAGAGATCGAATGATATTTCATTTGAATTCTTCGATTTGATTAAATTTTAAAAATTTAAGCTCTCTCAAATTTCCATGCTTTACAAACATACTGATTATGTTTATAATCTATATTATGAATTCACTTATTTTTAATAATTATCTATAATGGTTTGGGAAATAGAATTTGCAGACACGATTGGAACGGTATGTTGGTAATTTTTAATGTATTTTTAATAATGTTTTTAATGCAAATTAGAAAAGAAAGAACACAAAAGAAGAAAATTATATTTTAAACAAAACAGGCCCATCTTTTGAATTATTAATGCTCTTGAATCATTCCTTCGCGTAAGCATCATTCCCTCATTTTATATATAAGTGGCTGAATGATCGCGAGGGAATGAGAAATTTATTAAAATTTTTAAAATTGCAGTTAAGCCTAATTAACTTCTGAAATCACTCATGTACAAATATATTCATACAAAAAATTCATAATGGGAATAAACTTTAAAATAGTGCTGTGCAGGGCCGGATTAAGATATGAAAGGGCTGGTGGGTAAGTTGGGATCTTACCATTCTCTTTTCTTTGTTTTTTTTTATTTTATGAATTAACAAGCTGGCCAAACGAGGGGAAAACATTAATTATATTTTAATTAAAAAAGAGATTACATTTTAATTTAAAAAGAATAAAAATTATTAATTATTTTTTATTTGTTAATTACTATGATTTTTTCGTTAAACTATATTCTGAAAAGCACTTTTCCTTAAAAAGATATTCATAAGTTATAAAACTAGTTAACGTATACTGTGAGCACTTAAAAATAAATATTCCTGCAAAAATGGTCCACATATAATTTAATCATAAATACTGTAATGTAAAGTTTTTATAAATGATGCAGAAAATCCACTTTGCGTCATGCTTTTCGACAGTATTCAAATGCGTTGTACTTAAAATAAGATTTATGTTTAGCTCAGTTTCCAACATAAACCCACGTTTACGTCTAAAACATTTTCTGGAACGAGTATTTATTTAAAAATGTTCCGAAATTACTTTTTCATACCATTAATAAGGCAATATTAAGTATTAATTTTAATGAACTCTAAAGATTGAATAAAAACAAATGACTTAGCTTGCATCGTATCGAGGATGTTTGCTCCAATATGAAAGCCTTCATATGCTATGATGAATATGAGTAATAAATGAAAGTTATGAATCCAAACAGCAAACTTCAACTTTGAAGCATCCAAAGCAACAAAAAAAAAACATTTTAAAGCCAATTTCGTGTTTTTGTTCTATAGTCCTTAAGTAATAAAGATTGATAAAATAATAATAGTCACAAAAACGTCATTCATGATTTTAGACATGAATTTCAAAAAGTGAAATGAATGATTGATAACACTTACTTTATGTTAGGTATATAAAGACTTTTCAACAAAGATTTGGTTTCAAGAGATTTTGACGGAATTAAGCTGAATAAATCTTTACGACTTTGATGGTAGTATATTTTATACAACATACAATTATGATATCAATCAATTTTTTTAATACTATTAATTGGAAATTTGTGTATATCTTGAAAACCGCTCCTTAAGTTTCTCGCGTCCCACCCTTCAAAAAAATGAGGGGAAAAAACAAATGCTGAAAGAAAAAGATTTCTGCTGCTCCTATGGAGCAAATCAGTAATCTTCTGTTCACAAGCTAAAAAAAATTTTGTCAGACTTTTATTAATATTAATTTTAGAATTACTTTTATAATTTAATTGTACTTTTTTCATAGGATTTTTCTCTTTTCAAATGCTTCAAGATTTATATTTGTGTGAGCATTTTTTATTTTTTTGTACATTTATCAAATTAGAACTCCTACAAAGTATTTTTGAGTTTAGGAAATTTTTAAAATTTAAACATTTATTAGGAATGTGCATTAAGGGTATTATTTAATAGAGCTATTAATTAAACTCAACTGTAAAATTGCTTCGCTTCTGAACTGCACTAGCGTGTAAATATATATACGTATGTATGCATATATATATATATATATATTAGGGCGTATCGAAAAAATCGAAATTTCTTAAATCTTTCTGCGGTAGTGCGGAAAAGATGTGAATTCCTATTATTAAAAAATTAGCGGAATCTCAAAACTCTGGGTTGATATCTTCTGTTGCCTCAATGGGCTTAAAGTTCCAAAAATTCGACTAAAAATGATTAAAATGCAAAAATTAATACATAACCACAGATTTCGTTGATCGGTTTGAGGTAGCACTTAAAAGCTACAATATTTTAAAAACAACAATTATAAAAAATTTTAGAATTACAGATTAATATCTTCTGCCGCCTCATCGGCATCTAAGTTTGGAAATTTCGACGCATTTTGGTAATTTNAAAATACAAAAATTAATACATAACCACAGATTTCGTTGATCGGTTTGAGGTAGCACTTAAAAGTTACAATATTTTAAAAACAACAACTATAAAAGTTTTTAGAATTACAGATTAATATCTTCTGCCGCCTCATCGGCATCTAATTTTGGAATTTCGACGCATTTTGGTACTTTTCTGTATAACTGTTTACTGCTTGCACAATGCACATTTGAGACAGACTGGATTTGGCGCTCTGCCAAAAAAAGTAGAACAACCTTATTTTGAACCCTATTTTGACAGTTCTTGTCAGTCAAAGATATGGTGTATCCAACAGAACCACGGCTGCTATAACATGGAGTGTTATGAAAGATATCGCAAGATTAATATCGCAATCAGATACCAGCCTCATTAGAGACAAAAATAAAATATGGAGCAAAAAATCGAGAATTTACAAAGAAATTGTCTCAAAATCAAATGAAAATCGGTCCACTATATATGGCATTTATTTTGATAGACGACATGACAAAACTTTAACATCAGAAACACTCGAGGGCAAGCAGTTCCAAAGAACTATTGTAAAAGCTCATTACTGTATTCTATCGGAGCCTGATTCTACGTACATGAGACATGTTACGCCTGTAAGTGGATCTAGTCCTCATATACCTAATAGCATTAGTAACCTTTTCGTTCTCCGGTGTGACGGCA